GTAGATTTTTAATTTTTTTTTTTTTTATCTATGTCGGACTTACGACCTGGATTTGGGTTCCTAACCCCGTCGTAAGTCGGGGTCTAGCTGTATATATAATTTAAGGGCGATTTAGGGGAATTTTAGGAGTGTTTCTGACTTTATGCATTTTTGGCTTTACTTTGTATCTACTTTTCTGTGAGCTGGAACCAATTACCCAATATCCCATTGAAATAATTGATTCGGTTAATGAACGACTCTGTACAACGAATTGTGTTCATTAACCGAGGGACCACTGTACTGTATACTGTAGTTCAATCCCTGATTTTTTGGTAAAAAAGCCTGAGTTTTTCATATATCTCTTGTATAACTCGACTATAGCTTTTGAGAAATATTAGGTATAATCCTAAACGTAATTTGTAGCAAGACACCAGATTCACACCAACATGTCTTGGTCATGACCACGACCACAAAAACTGATGCTATGAACAGTGTTACCATCTCTGAAACTGAATTCCCACCAGTTATCAACTCCTATGAGAAATAAGAAAAAAAAATTATATATAGCAGTATATTTTAAGATTAAAATAATACCAATAATAATAATACAAAAAAATTAATAACAATACTGTACTGTACCTGTATTGCCATTTGGTTGCTGGATGACGAAATTTGTCATTCGTTTAACTACACAATGGAGACAGCTCAGAATAGCTGAGATCTCACAATCCCCCCCCCCACTCAGCATGAACTACACACAAAGAAAGTTTATTCCCTTTTATGTTTTTGACTTTATGATAATTTTTTGGGTACATTCTGTATATACAGTAGGCTCTCGCCAATAACAACTTTCACAATAATGTTTTCGACAATAACGGTAAGTTACAATAGATACCCATTTTTTATAATAACGTCTGGATTCTCTTGAATAAAGGAAATTTCGAGGGAAGCGTCCGAGAGCATCAATAATAGCGTTTGTTTGCCGCCATGTTGATGACGTAGTTGTCCACTCCGCCTCACTCTCACACACGCTCAGTGGAATACAGCGCTGCGTCCATGTGTGAAATTTTCGCCACTATAACCAGTGGCTGTTAGGGTCGGTGATCAATAATGGCTTCTGCATTTTTGCCTGTGGGGGCTAGGGGAGGTGGTGGAGGGAGTGATTTGCCACCTGAATGATAGGGAACTTTTAAAGTGAGGAAATTGAACTGTCCTGAGTCTACAGTGCGAAATATTAAGAGGAACTTAGAGGAGACCAAGAAGAGTATTGTGCTGGCTAAAAATATTTCGGTAGTGACGGAAATGCGAGGTGAGCTTTGAATGATAAAGGCGATAGAAACAGGTTGTTAGTGATAACCGAGCATTTTCTTGTGAAATGGTTAGCTTGTAGAATGAAAGACAGTGCAAGTGTTAGTGACCCTCAGATATGGAACAACCATCACACCAAGCACCTCAAAAACTCCCCCAAGCTAAGTGTTATATTACTCAAACTCATTATTTTGATGATTGAATAACAATTCTTTTTATTTTAGCTAACAAAAAGTGTTAGGAGGGCTTCAAGGGGAAAAAATGGGTGAAATTCTTGTGGCGGCAGCACCAATAAACCCCTTTTACATGTATTTTAATGTCACACAAATAGCGTTTTCGCTAATAACGGTGTTTTTCAGGCACCTATTAAACGTTATTGGTGAGAGCCTACTGTAAGAAAATTATCAGTAAATCGTCATTTGTATGAGGTGTTTGTAGATTTAAAGTAAAATGTAGCAACATAAAGAATCTAGGGGTATGGTAGGCAAGACAAGGATAAAGAAGTTTACTGGTAAGGTTAGCCTAATGCAAGCATGTACCGGGTAGCTATCATTTACCGCAAATGGGCCAAGGACATGCATGAATTTTAACCCCTCAAAAATACCATGTGTATATAGTTTGACCCCCTACGTTTTGCAAAAAAATTTGACCATAAACACTCCAACTGTACTCGATTGTATACGGTATGAGTGAATTAAGTGCTTGCATTAAGGAACAAGGTTGAAAAGTTTTTGAAGCAAAGGAAAAAATTTGTCTGTAATATTTTAAGATTTGAAACTTTCCAAAGAACAGGGGCCCCCCAAATTTGCAGGGGTTAGGTTCTCAAAATGGCCGTGAATCGCCAAATCTGTAAATAATATTTGTTTACATTTTTACTTGTGTACAAAGAAATGTATATTCCCTTTATGTGTTCGCCCTTTAGGCAATTATTTCTTTTGCCTGTATTGTATATACGGCATGTGTGTATGTGTGTAGACACACACACACACACAAAACACATACAAATAAATAATAATGGGAAAATACTCTCACAAATAATCAGAAACATATTAATTAAAAATGTGACAGTCTACCCTCAAGTCCGTGCTTTATTAATAAAGTAAAATGTGAAGTAAGGGACTTGAGGGTAGACTGTCACATTTTGAAAAAATTTGTTTCTGATTATTTGTGAGAGGATTTTCCAATTATTATTTATTTGTAACAGTGGTCCCTCGATTAACGAACAGTTGAATTAACAAAATTTCGGTTAACGAATTAGCTCCCATAAGGATTTTCAGTTTCATTAATGAACAAAACTTTGATTAACGAAAGCCTTATGAGAAACACACTTTGTTGCTTGCATCATCTGATCAGCTAGTCCGCCAATATAGTACATAATTGGTTCTATGTTTACATTCGTTTCCAGTGGAGTAAATATCGAGAAAGTTGTGCTCTTGAACATTTTTTATTTTTTATATTAAAATTATTGGTCATTCTGAAATTTAGTTAACATATTGATAATATATACAGTACAGGGAACAGTTTTTGTGTGCCCTTTAGCTGATCGAATCACCCACCAATGCTTCTCAGTTTAACTTTGTTTACAGTGTTGTGAACATCCAGTTTGTTGGTCTCTTGAATATTTCTGCATTTTTACATTAAAATTATTGGTCATTCTGAAATTTAGTTCACATATTGATAATATACAGTGCATAAATTATTATGAAACATGAAGAAGGCATTAGAACCAATGCACTCTGTAAAGAATATGGCATGTCATCATCGACTGCCTCTACAAACAGCTGTTTGATATGTAAACAAAGCTGCCGGGAAAATGACATACACACAACAAAGTAAGTTAAAATGCAGTATTCTATTGTTTTATATTTATTATTATATAGTATAATATACAGTACAGTTCTGAATTTAGTTTCTATTTGACATTTTGTTAATTCTATTACCAGTATACAGTACTTTGTTTGTATACTTTTTCTGTGAGTTGGAACCAATTACCCAATATCCTATTGAAACAATAGACCCAGTTAACGAAACTTTCGGTTAAAAACCGACTCTGTGGAATCAATTGTGTTCGTTAATCGAGGGACCACTGTATTTTGTTGTGTGTCTACACACACACACATACTGTATATACAATACAGGTAAAGGAAATTACTGTCTCTAGAGCGAATGGCTTCCTGTCCCAGCCGCAAAAATGCCGGCAATTTTTAATCTACCCACAGACATTCTTGGGTACATCCAGGGTATCATCCGCAAATAATAGAGGACAGTTAAATATAAATCCGTGAACTTGGGGGGCCCCCTGTACATCAATAAACACATACCATACATGGAGTTACTAACCTTGTGGTAGCCAAAGAGGGTGTCTCTGTTGACATAAAAGAGTTGACATTTACTAGGTGGAGGCAGGTTGGAGGGCAGGGTGGAGAGGGAGGCCTCAAGACAAAGTAACTGGTGGAGCCATGACTCCACAGGGTCACCACTCTTGTACCTAATGGACTCCTCCAGAGTAACCTGTTGCATGCGATTAATTAACAATTAGCACAGGAGAAAACATTATATGTGTAATACTACATCTCTATCTCTAATACTTACATAAAAAATGCTTTACACCTAGAATATAAAAAAACATTTTGATATATTATACCAATCATAATGCATATACCAGTTTCTTCTGTGAGATACACATGTATCCACATTAGTATGAAAATCAAATTAGACATCATGAAAAATTGCAGGCAATATGGTAATTTATGGATGTATGTACTGTATGTAATGAAGCGAGGAGAATTTTATTTCTTGATCGTCGATCCACTCTGCTTAATCATATTAACAAATCTGGGTGAGCAGATGAACAGACAGGTACAATTGCCCAAATCAATGATGTCACGATTTCCAGAAATTTTCAATCAGAAAGTGATATCTGGCAACTAACTTTGCTTTTTCGAGGTGGAATACTATTTTGTGAAATAGTAACAGAAATTAATTAATAAATGATAAATCAGTTTTTCATAATACTGTAAGAGCAAAACATATACTTAAAATTTTAGTATACCTGTACTGTATTTTAAATCGATAGCATTTAGGTGAAATGAGTACAGAACTGAATACAAAATATAAATTAATAAAATAATAATTGAGCTCACCACGTTTATGCCATGTCCTTCTTCATGAATTACACATATCTGTGACTAATTCTATCTCTGCTAAACCATGCCTGTTATTTCCTTATACATAACAAATTGTGTGGACATATTTGGGGACAGTATTTGTGTGTTTTTTGTGTACTTGTCACAGGTGTATACAACATTACCACAAGAATAACACTGGCTGTTGTATACACGAGTTTCTGTAGCCCAAACGAGAGAGATCAGCTGTTACAACGGCTGTCCTTTTTGTTCTGTATGCATCTTTGTCTTTCAAGTATGGGATTGGGATATAGCTCTTTTATTTTTACTTTCCATCCAAAAGCCTTTTACCTGGAAAACTATGAGGGATTGCTAGAAAAAGGGTTGGCAGAGAGATGACTCAAGAGTTCGGTAAAACAGCATCACCCCACAACATCGCTTAATCTACTGGTTACTCAGCTCTAACAGTCCCACCCCCACACAGCGCACACACCATCCATAAGATACAGTTGCCAGATACCGCTGTTTGGGTGAATCATACTGAAAACAGTGAAACCACTTCTTATGCCAATTGTACAAATTAATGTGCTCCCTACAAAACCAGTGCAGAGTAAAATGTGACACAAGAATAATGGTTTTATATCATGAAATGAAATGAAAAGGAACATCCAGTTACTAATCTGCAGATATATAAACTTCTATTAAGCCCATACCTCATGTAAAACTCTACCAAGTTCTGTTGTTCCAGACTTTTTATCACCATGATCAGCTTCTGCAGAGCTTGTCTTGGTCTGATTCCTGAGCTGGTCTATTAACTTGAGAGAGAGGGACCTGCCTGTGCCTTCATAGCCAGACACAGTAGAGGATAAAAACACCAGATACGGGCCCAGAAGTTTACGAACAAGAGGAAGAGGGATGGCAGCAGCTTCATCAATCACCACAAGTTCTGCCTGACCAAGACTACTACTCTCGTTAGGTGTGATGTACTGTAAAATTTCAAATTATCATTATGTGTTCACCACCTGCACATTTACTTCAGGGACAGAAAATCATAGATTATACACTGCAACACAAAGAGCAATATATCAGTAAAATTTTACCTGAAATCAATCTGCCAACTATTTTTCTTTTTTTTTTTGGTTATATAATCTTCAATTCCACCATCTTATTACATTTTCACATATGACTTAATGGTAACATGATTAACTAAATTCTATCAAATTATCAAAGTTTTATCAGCATTTTCATTCCAACTTGTGCTCTAGCATGCCTCATGAATCACCAAAATAAGATATATAACAACCGAACCCACCTGGATAACTTGTTGTCTGTTCCGGGTTAGTGCCACCCTCATCACACAGTTGCTGAATTGTGGATCACTTGAGCGCAGAACCTGGTAGTTCATGTGCTCTTCATAACCCATCACATTTAAGCCCTTAAGGACAAACTCAAACAGGGTGTTTAAATTCTCTGGGCTTGGTGATGTGACGAAGATATTGGAGTAGCCAAAGGCAATGGCACCAGCTGATAAGGCAAAGTATGGAAGTGTTATTAGGTTGTTTCCTTATGAATATCTTATACTTTATAGTAAGTGGGTTGGGTTGACTTTTATTAGGTTAAGATGGGTTACATACCATAAGGGTATGTTTGATTAGGTTAGTTGTTTATGCCATATATAGAATCATTATTTTCGGGGAACTGAATGCTCTTTGTTTTCTTTTACTTGCCACATCCTTGCAGAAAACTTGTGTATCCTACATTTTCTCAAACATCACATTATTATTCCAAACTGACAATCCCATTTTTGTTGCATAGTTTTCCCTCATATCATACCATTCCTGACCATTCAAAACTTCCTTGTATCTACCTTTTCAGTTAATATTAAGTACAATACAAATCCTTTCTCCTTCGTGAATACTAAAGACAAGTACTTTCTTCGTTGTACTTAAGCGGTAAAAGTGCTCCTCTGTTGGATACCAAATACAAATAGTTCACTATTATGAACACTCCAGTAATCCTACTTCCCTAAGGTAATACTAAGTCAGGCAATGCAGGGATTTTTACTATTGAAAAGTGGGAGGAGTAAGTGCTTGAGGTGAAAAGGATAAATGTGAGAATTCGGGTTTTGAAACTAATTATGGGCAAGAATCTGGTGACTGTTGTATCTGCAGGTTGGGCAAAGTGGAGCAGAAAAAGACAAGTTCTAGGATGAACTGCTGAAGGTGACAGAATAATTGAGTTTAGGTACACTAAATAATGATTGAGGAATAACATTAATTAGAGTAGTGTTTAATGAAGAGTTGGTGAATAAATAAAGTGCAATGACATTCATAAAATTGGAAGAAAATATAGGAGCAACATGCCTATTGATATTCCAAGTGCTGCAGATTTGCCTCGTCCTCTGCCAGCAGTGAGAGTGACTGTAGTACGGAGTGTCTTTTCTGTGATGGCCACTATAAACTGTAGCACTGACTTAGCCTGGAAAGAAAATATAAAGTAACTATATTTTACCATTCATCTATGCTTTTACATCCCAACTTTCATGCTTCTACTTACAGGTTTAGAAATATGTTAACCTTTCTCAAAGAGGAATATCATTCCCTAATAACTTTCTTATCTGTGACAATTTTACTTTCTATTCCCACATCCAGTAGTAGTTTGTCTAACATTTTAACACCGACAATTATGGTCTAATTTCTAATATGGTATTCCCCATTTCCAAAATAATGTTTTCTCACCGAGCATTTGTAATGGATAATCCCAGTCTATCAAAGCTACTTTACTTGGTACTGGCACTCATATTTCAATGTTCATTCAATATCACACCGTAAGATGGTGTGACTTCGGACAAAAAAAAAAATTGAAGAGGTGACCATTCGTAGACAGTTACAGTAAGCAGAGTTTTCTTGGTATCAAAACATTGCCCTAACTTTCTCTGGCAGGAGCATACCCCAGAGTATATAAAGTAATATATCTAGTGAAAAATATTAGAAACATGTTTTTCTTAAAAATTTAGAAACAATCTGGGGTGCTTGATATATCCTATATACAGTACATGCACTTGGAAATGTGACTTGAATGAAGGTACATAAAAATTTTCTTCAACTTGATGAGACTTTGGACCACTCAAAAATGACTTAAGAGGCACAATCCAAATATTATCCATGCATATTTGCAAGATTGCATGAGATACAGCAAAACTTTTACAGTAATGGCAATATACATGGTACTGATAACAAAATAATGATAGAACTAATCTACAGGTCAGGGGATAAAACAAGAATATGTACACTACTGCACACCGGTGCTCTGTTAAATTTGTCTAGCTGTCTCTCCTAATGTACAATCTAAAAAAATAAAAAAGAGAAAAAAATAAAACAGAACCAAACACCGTGTTAGTGTTATTTTCACGTCATACAATTTTCTAGAAAAGTTTTCCCTTCTCTTGGTTCTTCTTCCCCTTTTGACCTATACAGTAGCTATATGTAATTTTGTTGCTGCAGATATTTTTCCAAATTTTTTCCGAGTTCAATATTGCCTGAAGACATCCCCACACTGTTCAGCCAGACTCTAACAGGTAACAGCCATTGAATTAACACTGTTGTCTGAAGTCACCCAGTCTCTGGGGTGAATTTAGACACTTTTAAATTTTCTCTTCATGAAAAAGTATGATGTTTAGTGAATTTCCATTAACAGGTATGAATAGCCCATTAGTTCATGCACCAATAGCATACTTAGCATATGCTTTTAGCCTTCAAACTTAAACTGCAGCTACATACTACACACTAGTCATGATTCTCTCACAGATGTTTCAATTGCAATTCTTGAGTTTCTGACCTTAAAGAAGTGGATATATGGAGTACTTAGGTATCAATGAGAGGGATTTTACTGAGCTATGATTGGTTACTTAGTAGAAACTTTTGGCTATTCAAAAATAAGCTTGCCTTCAAGTTCTCCACCACTAGTATGGAAAAGGTGATTTTTTAATGAGCAAGATTTTCATATCTAAGAAATATTGGTGGTTATAAAGCAACATGTAGACTTTAAGTTCAACAACACAGAAATATGATGAGTTTAGAAATTATAATCACCTGGTCTAGTGTCTTGCACAAGTCTACCAAGAGCCCTATTGGAGGGTTGTCCTTGAGTGACTCCTTAAGATCTTTCAGTTCCTGGTCTTGAGGCGACATCGGGGCGTTGGCAGATTTGGCGGGCACTGGTTGCAAGTCTCGCAAGTGTGACGATACAGGTAGAATACGCAGCTGGTCATCTAACACCACACATGATGGGCAGGAAGCTAAGGAGAGGATGAATCTGAAAAAAATATTGTATCTTAATCTCTGCTAATAATCATACATTGGTAAGAAAATGGACTGAATTAAGTGCACCATTTCATCTATAGAAGAATATTTGGCATGGAGATACTAGACACATACACCCGAGAAGTTTCACGAAGGTGGAATTTAGGGGAGCTGGACTCAGTGGTTGGCCCCCACCCCTAAAGGTGGAGCTCCTTCATTAAAAGCACATTAATTTTTCTGTTTCTTACTATGCATAATTATTAAGATAAGAGAGCTGAAATTTGAGGTTACTCTTTTATTGGGTAATTAATTTTGGCTTAGGACAGACATAGACTATGTGTCTGCACTCAGGCAATACCAAGTACTATACACCAGTTATAAGATTATAACGCTTGGACTTAAAAACGAAACTGTGGCTGAACTTACTGGTATTCTAAATTTTAAACTAAGAAAAAGGTAAAACTAATATTGCCCAGAATAATAATACAGTACAGTATTACCCCGCTTAACGCGGTTTCACTTAACGCGATTTCGCATATACACGGTGCCTCGCCAGAACCGAACTTTCACTTAACGCGGTTCATCTACCCATATACACAGTGAAGTATAATTTTTTTTTATTTAGCTCATAAAATTCATACAAATTACCCGGCCAGAATATAATTTACATTGCTGGAATTCTTACAATATGATGATCATTTTGAATATAAACATCATAGATTTTGCATTAGACATACAAATTTTAGATATAATGTTTACTCTGAGTAAATATGTTATCTTTTGTGCAAAATATATGACATTTATATTCAAAATATTCCTGGTCTTACAAGGAATTCAGCAATGTCAATTATATTATCCTAACTTTAATCTGAGGTATTATTTATTACTAAAAATAAATATTCTTGTTTTCCCTACGTCTGGTAGGGAGGGTTGGTGAGGGTGGGGGTGAGGAGGACCGACCGACCATCTAACTGCAGTGTGAAAAAAATTTTTTTTTATTAACTGAAGATATTTGTTTAAGCTCATAAAATTCATACAAATTACCGGCCAGAATATAATTTACATGCTGGAATTCTTACAATTTGATGATCATTTTGAATATAAATATCATAGATTTTGCATTAGACATACAAATTTTAGATATAATGTTTACTCTGAGTAAATATGTTATCTTTTGTGCAAAATATATGACATTTATATTCAAAATATTCCTGATCTTAAAGGAATTCAGCAATGTTAATTATATTATCTAACTTTAATCTGAGTATTATTTATTACTAAATGTTAAAATTTAGTTTTTCACCCTACATTTCTCTTGTAGGGAGGGTGGAGTGGGGGTGGGAGGTTGAACGGACCGACCATTTGCGCGTTGGAAGGAGAATACTGATAACTGAAGATATTTGTTTTAGCTCATAAAATTCATACAAATTACCCGCCAGAATATAATTTACATTGCTGAATTCTTACAATTTGATGACCATTTGAATATAAACATCATAGATATTGCATTAGACATACAAATTTTAGATATATTTACTCTGAGTAAATATTGTTATCTTTTGCAAAATATATGACATTTATATTCAAAATATTCCTGGTCTTACAAGGAATCCAGCAATGTCAATTATATTATCTAACTTTAGCTTGAGGTTATTTATTAAAATCCAGGTTCCCCAAAATTTCTCAGAGAGGAAGAGCCAGCAGTGTAGTGTGAGAAGAGGAGGGAGTTGAGTCCATTATTTGAATGGACATTAACTTAGCGACTGTATTTCTCTATTTCTCTTAAGTATTAATTGTGTGCATGTACCATCATAAAATTTTGATGTTATTTTACTAGAACATAGGTATTGTGTCGAAAAAAGTAGGGTTTGGCGGTGCGGGCCAGTCTCTATTGGAATTAATCCCATATGTTCTGTTGTTCATAACGTGGTTTTCACTTAACCACGGTACCCTGGTTCAATTGACGCGTTAGCTAACGAGGTACTACTGTACTGTAATTAATAAATCAGTAAAACATTTGGGGGCAGCTGCATGTGGTTTCCTCACCTTTCATTGAATCTGGGTACAACATACTGGTGGACCTCTGTGCGTGCAAGCATGCACATCCATGCTGAGTGTGTGTACAGCTGCCGTAGCGGCGTCATAGTCTGGGAGTAGGACAATGACTCCACCACCTTCCACAGTCTCCATGGTGCGGCACAAGATGTTCGGGGTCAGAGCCTCAAAATCCTATTAAAAGTTCATAAAATATGTATATTAGCAGTCTAGAACAGAAAAAAAAAAAATATAAGTGCACCCATTGTAATTTTTTTTTTAATTGACAGCAGGTAGGTCTTAGTATTCTCTCATGTGCACATCATTACATATGGTATCTGTAGAGACACCTGAATCTCTTTACACAAACAGTGCAGTAAGAGGGCCTAGGGCAGTGGTTCCCCAAACTGGGAGGCAAGAGGTTGGTACAGTGGGGTGTGAAGACATGTGAAAACACACAGTACAGTATATACTGTACATATTGACAATCTTTTCCTTTATTATAATTTTTCAATACAAATATGTTACATTATTTTTTTCTGAGTATATTTCAATCTTCCCTATATGCAAAAGAGACACGAATAAAATAATTACAAGTTAGTTGACATTGAAAGTAATATAAATATGAATAAAGTTGGGTCTTCATTGCTGTCAATTGAACCCGTGATACCGCGTAAAACGAGAAACGGGTAAATGAAATAACACAACATAGTTAATTGAAATAGAGACTGGGCGACCCCCCAAACTCCACTTTTTCGGCACAATCGTAAATGACCAAATTTACAGCGTAAATCAAGCATTTCAATTCTGGCAAGGCACACAGCGTAAATGACACAACGTGTAAAACATGGAAATCCAGACTCAACTGTACAAGGTGTAAATTTGATTAAAATTTGATTATATTCTAAAACTGGGGAACCTAGTGGGTTTGGTAATAAGTAAATTGGGGCATCATGTGAAAGGTTTGGAATCCTTGGCTTATATTAAGAGGCAGGAAAGGCAGGGAGTACAAGGGAAGGTTTCACCTAGGTTAACCCACACAAGTGTGGAAAATTGCGATAAGACAATGATGACAATGATGATGTGGTTGGAGGGATGAAGAGGTGTAGCCTGACAGGGCAACCAAGGGAGCTGTGTTTATGGTCAATCCCCACAAAAGAAGTTTCTAGTGTTAATAAGATAAATCTCAGAAAATAGACAAATGTACAATATATGCTAGTAGCCTGTACTATATTTCTCTTGGTTTAAGGTGGAAATGTTTTCTTGTCCTTCATTTGATGATTTATGAAGTCTGGTATCGATGAAGTCGCAAAGTTCCTCTCTTTTTCTAAGTATTACAGTAATACTCAAGGCCTTAGGGCGATAAACACTGGCTATAGAACCAGAGTTTGGTTTACAATATACAGTGGTCCCTCGGTTAACGTAACACAATTCGTCTAGAAGGTCGTTTGCTAACCAATCCACTTGTTTCAATGGGATATTGGGTAATTGGTTCCAGCTCACCAAAAAGACATACAAAGTAAAAAATGCAGTAAAAGTACACCTACTTTGAGGTGTGTATTTAGAAGGCTCCTGGTTGATGATGATGATGAATTAGAATTGGGAAGAGAAGGAAGAAGAAGAGAAGGAAGTGGGGATGGAGGAGAAATCACCTTCAGGGGACCCATGCTGATGCTGTCATTTCACCAATAAAATTTTAGTTAGCTAGGTGTAATTCAAGATTATTTTTAAATCAACACTGCACTATATATTATCAATATGTTAACCAAAGTTCAGAATGACCAATAATTTTAATGAAAAATGCAAAAATATTCAAGACACCAACAAAATAGTTGCTCTTCAACAGTAAACAAGGCCAGACTGACGCCTGGTGGTCTACTCATGCATCTGATGGGTGCACAACTAACTAGTTCTGTACTGCATATATTATCAATGTGTTAAATAAATGTTAAAATGACTAATAATTTTAATATAAAACATTAAAAATAGTAAATAGCACAACTTTATTGATATTTAATCCATTGGAAATGAATGTAAAACATAGAATAGATTACTGAATTGGCTGAGTACTATACCCCTCAGCTGATCTCAAAACAACAAAACATGATGTTTGTAACTAGTTCCATGTACTGCATATATTATCAATATGTTAAATAAATGTTAAAAAGACTAATAATTTTAACATAAAAAATGCAAAAATATTTAAGAGCACAACTTTCTTGATATTTACTCCACTGGAAACGAATGAAAACATAGAATAGATTACTGAATTGGCAGACTAGCCCATTAGCTGACCAGCTGATGCTCACAACAAAACGGATTTTCGTAAGGATTTCGTAAATCAAATTTTTGTTCGTTAACCAATTGAAGATTCTATAGAAGGTAATCCGTTAACCGAAATTTCGTTAATCAAAGCATTCAGTAACCGAGGGACCACTGTATAAGGTATCTGTGAGAATGTAATACTATTGGCTTGCCAGGTAACCAAATATACAATTATCCATATAAGAGATATAAATCTTCCAATCACCAAGTATTAGAAAGATAAATTAGTCATAAATCAGTGCATCACACTTTAGATCATTTAACTATTTGATGAAAGCAAATGTTTAGCAGATGTGAAGTTCATTATATCAATGCCACAATGAGTAGTAATATCTAGTCTTTTGACTGCCTCTGAGAGTAGCTACCATTCTGTCGGCTAAGAGGACACTGGAAGTTCTCCATATAGCATTGCCCAGTTCCATAAAACCTGCTCTAAATTTACAAGATGGCAACCAGACACCATGCCATCAGGTAATCATGGCTAACTAACAGAAGTAAGGAAAATGGTTGTAAAACAGTGATGATGAGCATATGCCTAATGTAATTATGAAGAGACATGCCTATGAATACAGCAACAGAAAAGATGTTGCAAGAAAGAAATAGTATTGTGAAGTTTCTTCATCTGACACTAACTCACTCACCTGCAGTACACACATCTTGAAGGTGTTTCCCAGGATCTTGTGGGTCTCTTGTAGAAGCAGTACCTGATGTCAGTCATGGAAACAAACATTTCAAATGGGTCATCTCATTGATATCAACTTGCCCAGTTCTTATCCTGGCCTGCAGTTGCTTCATTTTTCTTTCGTGTGAGGAGAAAGTCAGTTCTTTCTTGTAGCACCATAGGACGTTAGCCTGCTTGGAGGCTTGACTTGGACAAATATATGCAAAAACACAACCTAATAACGAAAAAATCTTAAATGAATGATTAGCAGAATACAAAAATTTTATATCACTCTTGGTGATTTAATATTTAATGGATATAAAATCTCATTTACTTATACACAGGTATGGTTACAGTGACAATATTTTTCAAATTTACGGTTATTAATACACCTATAATAAAGGAGACCAAACAGTCTTGATTGTATACAGAGACTAGTTTCTAATGAAAGACTTGCACATTACTCTGATCTGTAAGTAGAAAAAGTAATAGTGATACTACAGTGAACGGGGCCCATCGTGCTCAGTGAAAGTTTAAACACTCGTAGCTATTAGCGCAAGAACCGCCGTCCGCCGACAGCATACAGTGAATGAGGGTGCACCAAGTCCGTAGACTTGCATTGTTTTCCATAGTAAATAAAATGGTTAATTAATGCCTTCCTAAAGAAACCATCGGCATGGGACCAGGTTTGTCCCACTCTACTAATTTTTATGATTTTTCCACCAAGTTTGATGAAAACGATTGTGCGTTTAGCTGCCTACAACAGACACACAGACAGACAGCTATTCCTATAGTATATAGATGATGGGTGGTGTTATATGTAGTGATGATGGATGGTGTTATATGAGTGATGATGGATGGTGTTATATGTAGTGATGATGGATGGTGTTATATGGTGATGATGGATGATGTATACAGTATGTAGTGATGATGGTGGTGTTATTGGATGATGGATGGTGTTATATGTAGTGATGATGGATGTGTTATATACAGTGATGATGGATGGTGTTATATGGTGATGATGGATGGTGTAATATGTAGTATGATGGATGATGTTATATGGTGATGATGATGTTGTATGGTGTGATGATGGGTGGTATTGTAGTGATGATGGATGGTGTTATATGTAGTGATGATGGATGGTGTTATATGTAGTGATGATGGATGATGTTATACAGTATGTAGTGATGATGGATGGTGTTATATGTAGTGATGATGGATGGTGTTATATGTAGTGATGATGGATGGTGTTATATACAGTGATGATGGATGGTGTTATATGTAGTGATGATGGATGGTGTAATATGTAGTGATGATGGATGATGTTATATGTAGTGATGATGGATGTTGTTATATGTAGTGATGATGGGTGGTGCATATGTAGTGATGATGGATGGTGTTATATGTAGTGATGATGGATGGTGTTATATGTAGTGATGATGGATGGTGTTATATGTAGTGATGATGGATGGTGTTATATGTAGTGATGATGAATGGTGTATATGTAGTGATGATGGATGATGTTATATGGTGATGATGGATGTTGTTATATGTAGTGATGATGGGTGGTGTATATGTAGTGATGATTAGACAATAAAATAATAACAGTTACAGTCGACCTTTTGTTAATTCGGACTAATGGGGGAAGGGTGTCCGTTTTAGCGATTGTCCGAATTAACCGATTTAGTTAATATTGCATTATATTTCAAAGTCATTGTTTTCGTCACGATTTTATCCCACTTTCCACTGTAATACGTGCGTAATTTCAGCAAAAATATTACATTTCCGTGAATGTATTATATCAAGCACAGTATGAATAAAATATCATTGTAATATAACAGTATTTTAACCGAAAAACTATTAAAAAACGAGTAACATCTCTTGAACAACGGAAGGTTAGGTAAAATCTTTTGTTTTCGTCATGTAGTTTATCCTATTTTACATTAAAATACATCACGTTTCAGCAAACTACTATTTATTTCCAAGAATATATTCATTTAGGCACAGTTAAGGTAAAATATACATGTGATGTAACAGTTTTAACTGAAAACGATTCGAAAACACGTGTACCGTCTAGCTGATACTCAACAGCTGGTTGAAACAATAGAGGTTGAAGTAGATTACCGGTATTATATTAAGTGTGAAATATCGAAAAGGTTTTTATTACCGGTATTTTTTGTAGATCAATGAGAACTGTGATACCGTATATATGATATGATAAGTTAGCCTGTAGCTAAGAACTTCAACATAGACTACTGAAAACACGTTGTAAGGTAATTTAGCCTATTGTAAGTTGGTGAGCTTCATTTGCTGAAGGAACTGCACAACTTTTCATTACTAATTGGTACATATTTCACGTTTCCATTGTTTACTGGCAGTAAATGGTAAATATATTTCATGTCTGAAGCTAAGTTGCACCCCCCACACTAGTGGTGGATATGTTACATTTAACCAAAAGATGCTGGTGTTTTATCCCAGCAGTGGGTGGACCAGCATTTTAGCTTAAGGTCCGTGGATAATATCCCCCAAAAAAGTTCAGATTTTGTCCGAATTATCTGAACCGGATTAAAGGGGTCCAATTAACGGTGGGTCACTGTAATGCTAAAAAATATACTTTGCTGTACTGTTAGTGAAAAAAACATGGTGGGAGGGAACTTACATATACACAGTTAATGAACTATTGATGGAAGAAATATTGGGGACTGAATAGTGAGACAATGTGGAGCCTCCGGAGAGTGGCGCCACCGTGGCCCAGAAGGCGTGCTTCCTAGTGTGTGTGAGTGTGTGTGTGTGTGTGTGTGTGTGTGTGTGTGTGTATATATATATATATATATATATATATATATATATATATATATATATATATATATATATATATATATATATATATATATATATATATATATATATATATATATAAGAATCTGCTGATAGCATACAGCGACATCATTTTTCAGATGGTTGCGTTGTTATAACTGGTCGGTTTGTTATAATGATGGTAGTGGTTTTTGTAATCATGGTTGTGGTTGTTATAATCACGGTCGTGGTTGTTATAATCATGGTTGTGGTTGTTATAATGACAGTCGGGGGTTGTTATAATCATGGTAGTGGTTTTATAATGCGGTTGTGGTTGTTATAATCATGGTCAGCGTTATAACTGGCGGTAGTGGTTTTTAATCATGGTTGTGGTTGTTATAATCATGGTCGGGTTGTTATAATCAGCGGTCGCGGGTTGTTATAACTGGCGGACGTGGTTGTTATAATCAGCGGTCGATTGTTATAATCATGGTCGTGGTTGTTATAATCATGGACGTGGTTGTTATAATCATGGTCGTGTTGTTATAATCATGGTCGTGGTTGTTATAATCATGAGGTCGTGGTTGTTTATAATCATGGACGTGGTTGTTATAATGGTGGTCGTGGTTGTTATAATCATGGTCGCGGGTTGTTATAACTACGGTCGGGTTATAATCATGGACGTGTTTATAATCATGGTAGTGGTTTTATAATCATGGTTGGTTGTTGTTATAATCACAGTCATGGTTGTTATAATCATGGTAGTGGTTTTATAATCATGGTTGTGGTTGTTATAATCTGGGCGGTCGTTGTTTTTAATCATGGTCATGGTTGTTATAATCATGGTCGTGGTTGTTATAATCATGTCGTGGTTGTTATAATCATGGTCGTGGTTGTTATAATCACGGTCATAGTTGTTATAATCAAAGTCCTGGTTGTTATAATCATGGATCGTGGTTGTTATAATCATGGTCGGGTTGTTATAATCATGGTCGGTTATAATCACGGTCAGTTGTTATAATCAAAGTCCTGGTTGTTATAATCATGGTCGTGGTTGTTATAATGGCGTTCGTTGTTATAATCATGGTCGTGGTTATAATCACGGTCGTGGGTTGTTATAATCATGGTAGTGGTTTTTATAATCATGGTTGTGGTTGTTATAATCACAGTCATGGTTGTTATAATCATGGTAGTGGTTTTATAATCATGGTTGTGGTTGTTATAATCGCTGGTTGTTATAATCACAATCATGGTTGTTATAATCGCGGTAGTGGTTGTTATAATCATGGTTGTGGCTGTTATAACTGGCGGCGGGTTGTTATAACTGGCGGTGGGTTATAATCATGGTCGTGGTTGTTATAATCGTGGTCGTGGTTGTTATAATCATGGTCGTGGTTGTGTTATAATTGTGGTCGTGGTTGTTATAATCATGGTCGCGGGTTGTTATAATTGTGGTCGGGTTGTTATAACTGGGCGGTCGTGGTTGTTATAATCATGGTCGGGTTGTTATAATCATGGTCGTGGTTGTTATAATCATGGTCGTGGTTGTTATAATCACGGCCATGGTTGTTATAATCATGGTCGGTTGTTATAATCATGGTCGGTTGTTATAATCATGGTCGTGGTTGTTATAACGCGTGACGGGTTGTTATAATCATGGTCGTGGTTGTTATAATCATGGTCGTGGTTATATAACTGGTGGTCGTGGTTGTTATAATCATGCGGTCGTGGTTGTTATAATCACGGTCGTGGTTATAATCATGCGGTTTTAATCATGGTTGTGGTTGTTATAATCTCAGTCATGGTTGTTATAATCACTGGCGGTAGTGGTTTTTATAATCATGGTTGTGGTTGTTATAATCATGGTCGTGGTTGCTATAATCACAGTCATGGTTGTTATAATCATGGTAGTGGTTGTTATAATCATGGTTGTGGCTGTTATAATCATGGACGTGGTTGTTATAATCGGTCGTTGTTATAATCATGGTCGGTTTGTTATAATCATGGTCGTGGTTGTTATAATCATGACGTGGTTGTTATAATCATGGTCGGTTGTTATAATCATGGTTGTGGTTGTTATAATCATGGTCGTGGTTGTTATAATCATGTCGTACG